GCCGGGCGTACCTGGTTGACCCGGACCACAATGGCAGTCAGCTTCCTCATTCGCTGTCCATGAAGCCAAGGTGAAAGGGTGACTTTCCCAGAAGTTGAGGCCACCAACGATGTAGATATAATAGTATGTGCCAGCTTGTGGGCGGACAATCGACCGAATAGGCACGTTAAGCCGCATCATATCAGAATCGGGGTCATACATGACCACCGCTTGACCCAAAGAACGGTTCAAAGCGATGAGTCGGCCATAGCGCATAGCGCGATCGAAAGCCCAAATTGCAACACAAGGCCAGAAATACAGAATGAAGTTCTTATCTGACTTTTTCAGATGGCTGTACAATTTCTTGATTAGCCAACACTCCAAGTTTGTGCAGGATGACTAGGTGACTTACAACCATGCTCCAATGAGGAACACTACGGCAGACAAGATGTGTACAAGAAGGAAGGCATCGTAGAATCGGCGTCGTAGTGGGTAGATTGCACTAATGCACATGGTCAAGCCAACGAATACAGCCTATGTTGCGATTAAATTGTTGCTTCCGGCGAGGGAAACCATTTGGTCGTACCACAACACCCCAGATCCAGTACTCCTCCGTCCATTGTGCTTTGTATTTCTTAGACCCTCCAGCTATTATCATCTGTTAGTGACTAGATTGACGTCGAGACTAGGGTGAATGTATACATACAGTCATACATGACTAGTGTGTATGAGACTGCGTGGGCGATGAGCTCTGCCATAATTACTCGGGCAATCCAGCGATGATAGACATTGAACGTCGAAAAGTTCCATCCGCTGAACCACGCGATAACATTGTTCCTCATCGCAAAAGTCCACATGATGGGAAGATTGGCCATAACAATAGTTCCCGTACGATGTCCAAGCGATCTCGCGACCTGGGCCGAAATCCTAGGACGTCTGTGTTTCATTGGTTAATCTGACGTGTTGAAGATGTTTCATCATTTCTGCTCTTACTTTAGATTGCCCTCGAACACGTCATGATTGACTATGTGTAGGATGACATTGAGCGCAATATAACCCAATACGACAAGTGACTCAAGACGAGTGGGGAATCCGCACCAGTCATTGATCCTCATATTTCTGTTGTGGAAGAGCTTGGGAATCAGGAGATGTTGCTTGGTCGCCTTCATAACTCTTTTCATCCAGCTGAGGAGCATAGTATCACTATTCCTGGTGTTCGTGAGAGAATGTATCCGTCCAATAAGCGCAATTACCAGTATAATTCCCCAGAAGCCATATATTGCATTTCTGATCTAGTCAGCTGTATTTGCCAACATTATATGGACTTCACCTACCCGTAGACGACGTTCAACTCGTCTGCTTCAAGAGCACTAGTCTATGCGTTGGTAGCGGGCAATGTCAGCAAATTTTCCATGCGGTCAAGAGATGAACCTTACAATGGTGCGCTCGGAAAGTGCGTATAGGGATGGAGATAGTACCCCTGCATGAGAAGTCTTCTTTCGTATATCATTCAAAGCAAACATGTCAAGGGTATCTGGCGATATCGTGAGTTTTTCGAGTTCTGGCAGGCCACTGACGCCGTTGCAAGTCTCTTGTAAAGTGGAATAACCATCTTGCATCTGAGAAGGGCAGTATCTGCCGAGGCAGGCGAAGTAAGATATGAGGTTCAGTTCGTTGGTGCATTGAGGTTTTGTGCCATTTCCGGAGAATTTGATGTAGGATAACGCGCTTTGGCAAGTTCTTTGACAGAGGGGCGTGGTCGCTAGAACTGAAACCGAATTGAGCAACAAAAGTGAGGTCACTGCATTGATATGCATGGTGATTGAATTCGATACTTTGGAAAGTCGTTCGGATGTAATGGAGGAGGTGACCGTACTTTGTTCAGCGTTGAGCACGACCGATTTGTAGCCCGAGCTCAAGGACGTTCAGCTTCCTTCTAGCCGAGAGAGGATAGCGGTATGCTCCGATCATGGCCATCTCTTTTAGCGACCGAGGATCCGCATCGCGCTGTACTCCATCCATAATATCTTGGTGTTGGCAGAGACTACGAGGTTTGCAGTCTAGGTATGCGGCGTCGGTACATATCGTTGATAACATTACGCCGAGCACTTGCATTAAGAAGTCCAATCATAAGTCTCATCGTACTTCCAGGACCCAGTGGCTTCCTCACGTTTCCGACTGTCGAATGATTATTGCACGGCATGTAGTACTAGACATGTCCTATCCCGACTTCGCCTACTGATACGAAGGGTGCACGTGCTTGAAATTTTTATCAGATCTTGATATTACCGAGAAGGGCAACTGTCATGATCTGATAAAACAGCGGGGCAGCATTTGCAGTAAAGCGCCGCTAGCTACCGTAGCCTGAATGCGGTACTGTCAACAGTAGGATGGCTTTCCGTGTGGTTAGCTAGCGAGCCGAGGACACCTGAATCGCACCGACTACGGTCTCATTACACGACTCATTTATTGCGAAGCTTGCACTCGGGCAAGCAGGACGAAGCTTTGTAGCGAGCTAAGCATGCGTTATCGGCTTCTGGATCATAGCAGGGATAAAAAAAATTGGTTTGCTTGATGAGTGAAGCCCTCATGGCAATTATCTAAAGTGGTCGCTATAGGGTATATATCCACAGTTAAGTATTTGTCAATGCCTTGTCGCGCATCATACCCATACCCGATATGTTGATATGACCATGAAGTTCTATTGATCGTAAATTGCGGGAAACGCCGGATTGGAACGATTACCATGGCCAAGGGTGGAGGCGGTCACATAGTGAGGTGCTACAGGGGTACGTACCGTTTTTCTTACACACCGCGGTTACCAACGCGTTCGAATTTTCAGTCAACAGATACCGGAAATGTGGCTGAGACAGTCGTAGTAGCTACGGCCAAAGTGTTGACATAAATACTTCTGCTGTGGCCAAGAGCGCCTAAGTTAGGCATAAAGAGTTCATGTATGGAAGGCTTCAGGGTCGGAAAGGTACCGTACCGGTAGTAATTGAAAGTAGTCGGTAGTTCAAGATTACTTATCCTCAGCTAATATCTGACAAATCACGCTACACATTGAAGTATTCCTGGTGCGGTGAGAACTTCGGCCCTAGTCCTTCCAGCGACTTGGTCGGGAGTCGTCCCGATTATGGCTAGATGACAGGTGCATGCCGCTCGCAGGTCGTGAAGATCAGGTTGCCTCTTTTGAGACTGAGCATTGCAACCTGCCCTCTTCGCGGAAGTACATCAATCCCACTTGCGAACCTGCGCCTTTCAAGATGCGGATATTCATCGATTCGAGATCTGGTCCCGCCAGCCAGCAAAAATACTGGAGACCAAAAACGTCTTGGGAAAAGGGCTTGAATGACATGTAAATGACATGTAAGCACGTTTCGGGTAGTCTTGATCACGAGAATAGTTGCTAGTAACTCGTCAGCAGTGCTTTTGGAAGACACTGTTTTCACACCTTAGTATAGTGAAACTGAGTCGTGGATAAAGGGTCGCGTGCAAATCTCTGTCACGCGGAAACTAGATCTGTACTTGTACAAATCTCCAAATGACTTCGTACTGGCCAAGACACAGTCGTGATTGCTGTGACAGTGGTATGATTGGGATATGAAGGATAAGGGTCTTGCTCGTCTTGCTCAATACTGGCATTTGCCAAGTGCATTTTAGAGGCTTTGAGAAGGACTGAGTCACGCAGGTGGTTACCGTATCCTTGCATGCTAGCCATGTTAATGTCAGGACCTGCATCCAATTCCCATATCACAACCACCGTAGCAGATATAACATCCCGGCCAGGCATTTTAAGGTATCTATTCGTGTTGAAATTTCCCGTTCCAATGTCAATTTGATTCTACTACATTCTGGTGCAATGATTAGCCCGGAGAAACTTCCCATCGCTGGTCCTACCGAGGAAACCTTCACGGCAGCGTTCGGCACAGTGCTTCTACCCGATGAATTCATCAACACAAATTATGGGAAAGCAGCTGAGTACGAGATACTACCATCCATTGATGCGACACAAAATTTGATGACGTCACCAGATTGCGTACTTTTATATTCATGGTGTGCAGACACCAGCTTTGGACACATCACCACTTAGCAAGTGTTATTCGTCCAGGTCGCAATAAGAAAAGTGTCCTAGTTATAAGCCCTACCTTATCTAAATTAGTTAACATCCTATAACTAGTAAATTAGTATATCAGGGGATGCTACTAGATAGCCTGTGGCTAGTATTAATAGTATTAGTGTATGGTATTAGTAGTATTACTATAGTAAGGGAAAAGAATTAGTTTACTATAACTTAGTATATTAGCTATATATCTATATTTTAACCCCTTATAGAAAAATAATTATCTAATATAATATAACGCGCGGCTTAGCTACAAGCCTCTATAGTACTCTAGCTTAACTAGAGTACTAAGAGCTATACAGGGATTTAATAGAGGGGCTAGTAGTTATAAAGCGTGTGGCTAGGTTAGTAGCTACTAAGTTAAGCCTTTTCCTTATTATAGTAATACTACTAATACTATATACTAATACTATTAATACTAGTTATAGGCTATCTAGCGGCATCCTCTATAGTAATTATTTATTACCTATAGGATATTAACTAATTTAGGTAAGATAGGGCTTATAACTAGGACACTTTGTATTAATATAACCTAGACAAATAACGTTTCCTATTACTACTTATCCGCTAGCTACACTACTAGTATTTTTCTAATACTAATTTTATCTCTATTAACTTGTATAGTTATAGTCTAAGTAGTATAACTCTAGCTACGTATAATACGCCTATATATTACTATCTACTTATTATATTACTAGACTAGTTAACGTAGATAACTATAAATCTTGTTACTAGTAGTTTCTCATTAAAGCCCCTTTAAGTACTATACTATAGGCTATATAGTATTGCAATTATCCTAAATAGGAAGTTATAAACCCTACGCTCTAGCTAGACTAATAGGCGCTATGTATTATATACTAGCCTTAAGAGAGAATATAATAGGCGTTAATAATAGTATTTAGTATCTTAAAGGATAGGTAAGCACTATACACCTTTTTATAGGTGTGTAGCGTGCTTACTTAGTACTAGTGTTAGTCTCTACCTATGTTTTATTAGACCTAGGCTTAGGCATAAGCCTAAGCCCTTTATATACCCCTAACCTTCCCCTATAAGCTATTATAAAGTTATCTTTTTAGAGATTTAGGGCTATATCTTTATCCTATCCTAATCTATATTAGGCTATATTATTATATCTTTATATTCCTTCCTAACTTATAATAGCCCTATATATTAAGTAGTATATATATATAATATCTATATACTTATTTTAGTACCCTACTATAAATATTCTAATATAGCTATCCTACCCTACTATAAATTTCCTAAACTTACTTTATTATATAGTAGATTTTCCTTAGCTAATTAGTTTTTCTCTACTCTTCTTCTATTAATCTAGCCCCTATTACTACTATTATATCCTTATTAACTACTACTAGTAATAGTAGTAGTAATGTACTATAAAGTAGTAGGACCCTACACTACGCCTACTAAGATAAGGTATGTACTAATAATTTCTTCTAAAGTTTTCCTTACTAACCTTTCCTATAGTACACCTCTCCCTAAACCTAGCTACTTAGTAGCTTTTATTATCTCTAGTAACTTAGATAATATGTAGTATAATAATAGTTTTATAAAGCTACTTCCCTATAATTAGTATATTAACTAGCTATATCTCTTTAGTAAGTATAACTATTAAAAGGATAGTAGTAACTTCCTCTTAATATTTTATATCCTTTATAGCAAGTTCTAACTATATCTAAGGTATTTATATAATTACTAGTTATGGAAATTTGGATTACTAAGGTTAGGAATGATTTAGGAGATAGATTATTAGATTGTATCTACTACGATTGTACTTATATATATAGAGCTTTAGCTACCCTTACTAGAAGGTGAATAATTAGTAAACCTTCCTTACTAGAGCTCCTGCTTTTTATTAGGCACTTAGTAGTAAGCTAGCAGTTAATTAGATAGTAGGTTATACAGGGGTATTAATTAGGGTTAATTAGATTAAGATACTCTGTAATTAGGTTAATATCCCTCCTGTAACACACCCCCTAGGTATAGGTAGATCTTTTATTATTATAGTTACACTTATAGTTAGTAGGTAGTGTAGCTAATTATAGTGTTGTATATCTAAAGGGTTAAATTAGCTTACCCTTTAGATACTAACTAGCGCGCCTTCCTTATTTAGCCTGCGCTTACGCGCGTAGATATTATCTAGACTAAGCTCTATAACTCTATCTACCTAACTATAATCTTTACTATAGCCTAAGTTATAAGATTATGTAACCCTAAAGATCTAAACTATACCTATATCCCTACTAACCTATATCTTAGTTAAAGTTAAAAACTACTACTTATACTTACTCTACCTATACTACCCTTATTACCTCCTATACGGCCGAAGATCAATTGGGAACTCGACGCATAATAATTCATGGACAAG